GATAATAAAAGAGATGGGTAAATGGCGTAAATAGAAAAACACAATTACCTACTCTATGATAAGTATAATTTGAAACAATAAAAGAAATTTGATGATGTTTTAGTTGTTAATATTTAATGTTATATCGATTTTCCAAGTTAGTGAGGTTGTGTTGAATGGGAAATGCACAAAATTCATTATAAGGTAATGAAGGAAAGACCGAGACTTGAAAGCTGTGTTCACGAAGGATGAAATAAACATATGTCTGGAAGGCATATGAATCAATCCTACCACTCTATAGCGACGATGTTTGAATATCTTAATTTTATCATTTACTCGTTAAGGAAAGAGAAAGGTGAGAGGGAAGGATCTACGGAAATTAATATTTTGTTATCACATGTCATTACCCGTGATGACATCCTAGAGGTTTGTTATCTAGATATGCTAAACTTCAGAAAACCGTTGTCTAAAAGCTAAAGAGTCGTGGCAGATTTTATAAACATAAAAAAGATACACGAGCATCTAGGGGACAGTCGACAAATTACTAATTACTAAATTATTAATTTTATAAAAAAAAATGAGTTCTTGTGGCACGATGTGAGCATAAAATGTCAAATAGAAACAAGTTATTTGAAATATTTATCACGCATGTAAATATTTGTATTAGTTTGTTGTAATTCACTCAATTTTGATGATATGTAACTCCACTAGGACTAATAAATCATCACTGACAATATAATACACAGTGGTTCCCAATACGAAAAGAACGTAATAGATTTAAAATGCTGTTATTTTAGAAATAAATATAAGTATATAATAGAATTTCTTTAACTAATACTAGCGTGAAACGTTTTTAACTAGTCTTTAAAAACAGTTTAATTGTTTGTACATAGTTTAAACGAAGAAAAGAAACATTTTTATTTAAAGTTTGTCTAAAATCAGGACAGTTTTAATAAAACAAACAAACAAACTAGTATGTTACTGGAATACGTTATTTTTTAAGTTTAATGTTCTATTTTTATGCCATTCTTTGAGAAATATTACATTTAGATCTTCTTGTGAATATTGACGTTCTTAGTTGAAAACTGATTTTCGATAAGCAACCAAGAAGCAGATATAAGGTCGAATTAAATTTGAAGACCTTTTAAAAGTTGTACTTGCTGCAGTTTCATGTTTTCCACAGGCCTCCAATGTGTTTTTAATTTAAAAAAGGGAAAACACCATGAGCCCCAAGATTTTATCAAATTCTTTAAAAGATGACGCTAGAGATCCCAAGATTCTTTAAAATTCTTTCAAAAACTATACACCCCAGATCTCCAAGAATCTTTTAATCTGTTTCAATTACAATCTTTAGAAAAACAAACCATCACAGCTCCTTAAGATTTTTTAAAATTCTTTCAAAAACTGAGCAAGAGAGGCCCTCATGATTCTTTTATTCTCTGTCAAAAGCAAAACACCAGAAGCTCCCAAGAATTTTTAAAATTCTTCAAAAAAAGGCAAGGCGGTTCTTAACATTCTTTAACTAAAAAAAAAAAGCCGTCAAGGATCCTAAATTTTTTAAAATCTATTTCAAAAGCAAAACACTAGGAGATTCAAGATTGTATTAAAATCTCCAAAGAAGATACTAATCCTTTCAAGGAAAAAAATATCAGAAGTCCCCAAGGTTCTTTTAACACTTTCAAAAGCAAAACACCATAAGGCCCCAAGATGTTTTAACAGTCTTCAGGAAAAACAAATGGAGTTCTAAGATTCTTTAATTGAAAAACAAAAACAAAACACAAATTATTCTCAAAAATCTTTTAGTCTCTTTCAAAAGCAAACCACTAAGAAACCTCAATATTTTTAAAAAATTCTTGAAGGAAAGACACTAAGGATCTGAAGATTTTTTAAAAGTTTTTCAAATGTTTGAAAATTCTTCAAAAAATAACACTAAGGATGCCAAGATTTTGTTTAAATTTTTCCAAGAACTAAACACCAGGGGCCTCAAGCTTATTTTAACATCTTTCAAAAGCAAAACACCAGAGGCCTCAAGATTTTTATAAATTCTTTAAAAAGAAACACTAGGTATGCCAAGATTCTTTAAAATTCTTGAAAAAATAAAACACTAAAATTCCCCAATATTTTCTTCAGTTCCTCTAAAAAGACGCTAGCAACCCCAGATTCTTTCAAACTATTTAAAGAAAAAAAGACTCGAGGCCTCCAAGGTTCTTTCAATCTCTTTCAACAGCAAAACAGCAAACGCTACCAAGAATAAAAAAAAATTGAAGTCAATATTTTTTCGAGAAAAAATTATGTTTTTCTGTCGAGTGAGAGTGGAAACTAATAGAATCAAGAATGTGAAAAAAGTAAAAAAAGTGTTAATTGTAACTTTTTTCACATATATGTCAAAAGTGCCAAAATCAGTGTTATCTTATCAAATACTAGCCCCGCCCACCCACCCTGTATTTTCTTGTAGGATATGTCATTTGCCAAAATCTGTCTTATCTTGGCAAATATTAGCCCCGCCCGCCCACCCACTCTTTTCATTCTAACGACTAATTTTATTTCTGTTCAGTATAAGATCATTCCACCTATTCAGAGCGGATAAAACCAATCACCGAAATGGAGCCTGGGTGGGTGGGCGGGGCTAATTATCCTTTTTTGTCGAGTGGTAGTGGAAACTAATAATAAAATCTAGGATGTGAAAAAAGTAATAAAATTGCTAAACTATAACTTCTTTTGTTATACCATGGCCGACTAGTATAAAGATTATGGCCTGTCCAAGAGGTACGATACGTGTTGCCATCTATTAATAATTACACTTAATAATTTAGCAAAATTTTAATTTGACTTGACATTATGGGACATCAAAACGTGTAATGGTGGTTTGTTTCGGTATGAATGCCTTTGTGCCTTTCAAAAAGTGTTAATAATTCTTTTGTCGTTTTTGAATTATTAATAGATGGCAGCACGTATGGTACCTTTGGCATTCCTTTGGACAGGCCAAAATCTTTATACTAGTCGGCCATGGTTATACCTACTATTCGCTATAAAATTTATTTCTTATTTCATGCATCTGACCTGACTTGACCTACCGTGACCTGACCTCTTCTAGTTAAAAAAAAGTCTAAAATGTCAAAAGTGCCAAAATCAGTTTTATCTTATCAAATATTAGCCCCGCCCACCCACCTTTTGTTTTTTGGAAGATATATGATTTGCCAAAATCAGCCTTATCTCCGTAAATACTACACCCGCCCTCTTCTAATTCTAAGGACTAATTTTACTTCTGTACAGTATAAGATCATTTATTTGATTCAGATCGGACAAAATCAATCATTGTTCTTTTAATTTAAAAGCAAAATACAGGGATTTCAACATTCTTTAACTAAAAAAAAAAACACCAAGGGTCCTAAGATTCTTTTAAGCCTTTTTTAAAGTCAAAACTCTAGGAATCCCCAACATTTTAAAAAAATTCTTCAAATCAAGGTACTAGGGATCTCCAAATTCTTAAAATTCTTTCAAAAGCAAAACACCACAGGCCCCAAGTCTCTTTAAGTTTCTTTTAGATACAAAACACGATGTGTCTCAAGATTTTTTGAAATTCGTTCAAAAACAAAACACCAGAAATTTTTCAAAAAAGGACACTAGGGTTCCAAGATACCTTAGTTAAGAAAAAACAAGGTTTTCAAGATTATGTTACAAACCCTGTGGATACCAAGATTCTTTAAATTTTTGTTAAAAAGAAGGAACGAAAAGCCCCTAAGTTCTTTTAATCTATTTCAAAAACAAAACAATGAGTACCTCAGAATTTTTTTAAAATTTACTCAAAAATAAAACACCAAGTAACCTAAGACCCTTTCAGTCAGAAAACGCTGTGTTATCATTTATTACAAAATATTTTACTACTAACAAAATCACCAACAGAATTGTACAAGACGTAAATAAATTCAAAAATTGCAAAATAATATGCAGCAATCAATAACAAATGCATCATTACACACTAATTAATTTAATTAATTGCAAAAACAGCACGACAGTGGTTACAGAAGAAATCCAATAAAACACACTGAATAGAGATTTCCTAAGTATCCCCAAAAATGAAACTGCTATAATTCCGGGCTTTTAATAAATTTGAACACGATAAAATAACTCAACTGCATATGTTTTCGTTTTTACGTCTATATATTAGTAGTTATATAGTGGGGCTCCTACCTCAATAAATTTCAGCTATGACCTGACCTGACCTGACCTGACTTGAGCTACCTCAATAAATTTGAGCTATGAGCCCCACTACTTTTTATCTAGCGTTTGTCATCGTCTTGTCCTCGGTTGACTTGACCCCTTGTTCGGTCGGGTTCGGGTAGTGTCGTGCACAGCGATCATTCACGTTTTCGGTCGGCACGTGTCGGTTGTTGACCCGGGGGTTCAATGTCCCCTTAGGTCGTGTTTTGCACATACTCTGTACACTGACGATCCTCTCATATAACGAAGTATGAAAATACAGATTTATAAACAAAAGATTTAAGTGCAGTCAGGTTGGCCGAGTTGTTTAAGACGTTAGATTTAAGCTCTAATTCTTGAAACGGAGCGTGGGTTCGAATCCTACACCTAACAGTTTTTTTGCGTTTAAATAAAACACATTTTAATGTTATGTTATTTACTGAGGAAATATACTTAGAATACAGCCATTTGTAAATATATATTTAATGAACAGGAACATTTTTTTATTAGATATATGGTTACCACATGTTGGGATTTCTTTGGTCAATTTCATACAGTCTTGTATGGCTTCCAGATTGACAATTTTGGGACAGTCTATTCCTAGCGTTTCCATGAGATAATTTTCTTTGTTTTCTCATGTCACGTATACGACCTCCACCCCATTTTTCTTGATGTATTCGATCACAATTTGTTTAACAGATATCTGATCCTTGGCGCTATCATTAAATCTCAACATATGATGACAACATTGTAGATATCTAACTTGTATATCAATTACAATCAGCTTCATCTTGTAGTAAGATTCAAAGTCACTTAGGTCAATGTTACAGACTTTACACACAAATCTAAAGGCCCTAGAAAACATTAAACGTCCCACTGACCAGTGGGACGATTTGCTTATACATATGATAGCGGCAAAATTCGATCAACATACGACCGTCGCATGGGAAAGCACTCTTTCCAGCGAAATTCCAAATATGGAATCAATGTTCCAATTTTTAACGCAGAGGTGCCAGATGTGGGAGGCATTTGAAGCTAACCACAGTTTCAAGTCAGGTTCAAATAGTTTTCAGAAGCTTAATAAAATACCTAATAATCGTAGTTTTTCGCATCTAGTCAATTCTACCGTTAATCAACCCGTATGCCCATATTGCAAACAATCACACAATATTTATAATTGTCAAGGTTTTTTGGACTTATCTGTAGAGCAGAGATATTCCGAAATTAAAAGACGTAAATTATGTGTAAACTGCCTTAGAGGTGGACATAAATTAGAAACCTGCGCCTCTAGTAATTGTAGAAAGTGCCATAAGCGCCATAATTCCTTGTTGCATTTTGAAAACTCTTCAAGTGAATCAGAACCATCAACATCCTCATTAAAGGTTACCAGTAGCAATTGTGCGCAAATTCTTAACAAAAACATCACTCTTTCTACCGCAGTCATTAATGTTTTAGGTAAGAACGGTAAACAAGTGCAATTTCGCATATTGTTAGATAACGGGTCCGTCTCAAATTTCATCACTGAAAGAGCCGTTAAAATCTTAGGATTACAAAATTTACACAATATTAATTTGCCATTGATAGGAATAGGTTGCACTTCGTCCACTATTAAACAAGCTGTAAAGGTCAAAATTTCATCCATTTGTAACGCATTTGAGGCCAAATTAGATTTTTTAATTGTTCCCGAAATAACAGGCAACGTACCGTCTACAGAATTTCCGCCACTCGCCAATTTACCTCCAAATGTTAAGTTGGCCGACCCTATGTACAATGTGTCGCAACCGGTCGATCTCTTAATCGGTAACGAGATTTTTTGGGATCTCATGTGCATAGGTCAGATTCGACTTGGTAAACAAGGGCCAATATTACAAAAAACAAATTTTGGTTGGATAGTGGGGAGCGCTGTCGCGGCTAGGTACAATCAGAAAACGGCCTCTTGTAACGTAATCAATGTATCCCTGGATAATGAACTAAAAAAATTTTGGGAAATAGAAGAATTCGCGGAAGGTACACCTGTTAGTGGCAATGACCTGTGCGAAGAATACTTTCGGGAAGGTCTTTCCAGAAATGCAGACGGACGCTTTATAGTTAAATTACCCCTAATAAACGACCCTCCGAATATAAGTACTTCAAGGGACCGCGCGTTAAAATTGTTTTACAACTTAGAAAGGCGGATGCACAAAAATCCTCAATTGCTGAAACAATACTCAGAATTTATGGATGCTTATTTGTCGCTCGAACACATGTCTGAAATTCCAAACCCAGACAATTCAGGGTATTTTTTAAGCCATCACCCAGTTTATAATGAATCTTCTCCCACGACTAAACTGCGAGTAGTTTTTAACGCGTCTTTAAAAACCAGCAACAGTAAGTCAATAAATGACAACTTACTGACAGGGCCCAACTTACAACAGGACCTTTTCAGCATCTTGATTCGTTTTAGAACTCACAAAATAGTAATTACGGCCGACGTGCAAAAAATGTACCGTCAAATCTTGTTACATGATGACCATAAGAAGTACCAACAAATATTTTGGCGTCACAATACTAACGAACCGGTCAAGGTTTATCAATTAAACACCGTTACTTATGGGTTTGCTAGCTCTTCTTTTCTTGCCACAAGATGTTTAATAGAACTCGCCAATCAGTCAAAAATTCAATATCCCATAGCATCAGATTTAATTTATAACGATTTTTATGTCGATGATCTCATCACAGGGGCTGATACCATTGAACAAGCCTCACAATTGTTAACCGAAGTAAATTTCATTTTACAATCGGGATGTTTTCAATTGCACAAAATAAATTCCAACTGCCCCAGCTTAGTGAGTAATCTTCAGGTAAATATGCAAAGTACCGTGTCCTTGGACAAACAGCAACCCACAAAGACATTAGGGGTGCTTTGGCATAACGATACCGACACAATTACGTTCTCTACGAATGGTAAAATATCGTCCCAACCGCAAGTAACAAAGAGAGCAATTTTGAGTACCATCGCCAAGATTTTCGACCCACTCGGATTAGTATCACCCATAACCGTAACAGCTAAAATTATCCTACAGAAAATTTGGGCTTTGAAGATTAATTGGGACGAAAGCTTACCTGCCGATTTACATACAAGTTGGGAAAGTTTTGTTAAAAATTTCGGTGCGTTAGATAATATCTCAATACCGCGTAGAGTTATTCACACTTTGGAGGCTGTGCAGCTTCATGGGTTTTGCGACGCTAGCCAAAATGCCTACGGTGCCTGTGTATATTTGCGCACGAGGGATTCAATGGGTATTTATCGGGCCCATCTGTTATGCGCTAAGAGTAAGGTAGCTCCGTTACAATGTTTAACAATTCCACGTTTAGAATTATGCGCGGCCTTGTTATTAGCTCGTATGTTAGATAAGGTGACAAAGATTCTTAATGTGACGATTCGAGAAAAATTTTACTGGACGGATTCATCGATTGTTTTGTCGTGGATAAGTTTAAACCCCGCGACCTTAAAGGTTTTTGTCTCTCACCGCATCGCCGAAATACAGTCACTTTCGGCAGATGCTGATTGGCATTACGTACCGTCAAACAAAAACCCCGCCGATATTCTGTCACGGGGCTGTACTCCGTCTCGGTTAAATCAGTCGCTCCTATGGTGGCATGGACCCGAATTTCTTCAAACCAATACAGAGCACATCAATTTTACGGCTAAAGAACATCCGCAGTTAGTGATTCCCGAAATTAAGGCGGTTTGTTGTTTATCTATCGTTAATCAAAAGCCTGAGGATCCATTTCATTTACTACATAGATTTTCTTCATTGGTGAAGTCAGAGTCACTGCCTATATTTTGCGTTTTAAGCATAGCGTAACAAACAAGAAAAACACAATAAAGGGTTCTTTAACTTGTGAAGAATTGCAACGGGCCCACGATGTCGTAATCAAGAGCTTGCAATCCAAAGTTTTTGCGGAAGACCTGCACAATTTACGGCATCACAAACAACTTTCTAAAAACAGCAAAATTCTAAATTTAAACCCCTTCATAGATGAATTCGGACTCTTAAGAGTCGGCGGTCGATTAAATAATTCGGAACTGTTACCTGATCAACAACATCAATTATTACTGCCCAAAAATCATCCAGTCACCAAGTTAATAATAAAAAAATATCACGATGAAAGCGCGCATTCGGGATGTCAAGCGACTCTATCTGCCTTACGACAAAAATATTGGCCCATTGCAGCTCGCGCAACCGTTCGCGGAGTGATATTTAATTGCCTAAAATGTTATCGTGTCAAACCCATTGTTTATCAACACTTAATGTCAAATCTTCCGAAGTCCCGAGTTACGCCTTCACGGCCATTTAGTATATCCGGAGTGGACTATGCAGGTCCTTTTCTTATAAAAAATGGATATGGGCGTACCACCAAAACAGTCAAAGTCTACATTGTAATATTTGTCTGCTTTAGTACCAAAGCGGTTCACATTGAAATGGTTTGCGGGTGCTCATCCCTCACTTTCTTGAATACACTTAAGCGATTTATAGCACGCCGGGGTAAACCGAGTCATTTATACTCTGACAATGGCACTAACTTTGTAGGGTCTAATCGCCATCTGCATGAATTAAAGACATTATTTGAAAGTAGTGAGTTTAGATCGAGCGTAATAGATATCCTTAGCATTCAAAATATACAGTGGCATTTTATACCTCCACATTCCCCGCATATGGGTGGAATTTGGGAGGCTGCTGTCAAAACCGCCAAAGGTCATCTTAAGAGGGTTATAGGAAAAACATTATTAAATTTTGATGAAATGAGCACTTTGTTGGCAATGATCGAAAGCTGCATGAACTCACGTCCCTTAACCCCTCTTTCCAATGACCCGAATGATCTCAACGCCTTGACGCCCGGACACTTCTTGATTGGTGCCCCCTTGATCGCCGCTCCGGAACCCAACCTCGTGGACGTGCCCTGTAATCGCCTCACCCGTTACCAACTGGTGGAACAACTACGGCAACACTTTTGGCAAAGATGGTCTAGGGAGTACTTGCACACTTTACAACAGCGATGCAAGTGGAATCGTTTACCGGCCCGTCAACCTGCACCAGGAGATCTCGTCATCCTCAAAGAGGACAACACTCCACCGTTACAATGGCCCCTCGCTAGGATTACTGCATTACATCCCGGGCAGGACGGTCAATGCAGAGTGTTAAGTGTAAAAACTGTGCGCGGAGTGTATAAAAGGCCAATTACGAAAGTGTGTGCAGTGCCTTGTACAGACTGAATTAAATTTTATCTAATTTTAAATTCAGCGCGGGGAGCATGTTGTGATTTGACGCTATTTTCTAATATTTCCCCCACCCCGTGCGCACGCATCGGGGGTGTCTTGTTCATTTTCATTCTAGTTTTAAGTTAGTACTGTAAGAGAGTTAGGAAATACAACATTGGTCGAAAGTACCCCGTGACTTAATTCTCCAGTGCTCCAACAGAACTGCTTGTAAAAGCACAAGCAGTTGGGAATCAACAAATATTCCCCAACATTACCTTATTATTAATTTTAAAAATTAAGGTATGAAGGTTTTTCAGATATTGAAATATTTTATTTTAGAAAATTTTTAGTTGACGTCATCATTTATTTGTCTGCAAATTTTACCTACATATATGTTTATTTACTACGTTTTCTATCATGGAAACGAAAAAAAAAATTCTGTTTTATGTTTACAAATAACTTTTACTACGAGTGTAAATTACAAAAATCTTGTCGACAAACACATGGGGTTTAGCTAAATCAGGCGCGGATCCAGGGGGGGGGGGCAATGGGTGCAATTGCCCCCCCCTGACACACGACCGAGGTACTTTATTTTGACCAATTTCAAAATTTTGAAATCATATTTCATTTTGTAAATACAGTACAACCTCTATAATCCGAACTCACGATTGTCTCAACATCCAGTAATCCGAACAGAGGCTATTTGAAGTCGATGCCTCTTTAATCCGAACAAAAACTCTGCAATCCGAACTGAACTTGAAAACATGCATCTACTTCCAAAAATGACGCAAGATCTTTCTGCATAATATGTTGTATGGAATATTTTGAAATTTTTAAAAATTGCGATATTTCAAAGCACTAAATTAATTAACTAATTCTGGAGAAACGGATGAAGTTATCGGAGACCCGAAATCTACAAGAGAAAGTATTTGGTTAAATTTCGAAAATCGTCGAAAATGGGTCGAAATTTGCATGAGAAAAATTTCATTTTTGAAAAATTTTCCTAAAAATTCTGAAAAAATTCAGGGATATATATCCCGACGTGCTGATTCCAAAAATATACCATGTTTATGGTAACGGAGCAATATTTTCGGAAAATTCGCTGTGAAATTCGAATTTTTCGAAATTTTTAAAAATTGCGATATTTCAACTGGACGATTCTGGAAAAATGGTTTAAGTTATCGAAGAAATGAAGCCAGAAGTGACTTCTGAGGTCCAAAATCTACAAGAAAATATATTTAGTTAAATTTCGAAAATCGTCGAGAATGGGTCGAAATTTGCATAATGGAGGTAATACGAATCCATAATAGAAAATTTCATTTTTGAAAAATTCATCTAAAAATTCTGAAAAATTTCAGGGTATAGATCCCGGGGTATTTATTCCAAAAAGATAGCGTGTTTATGGTCACGCAGTAATATTTTTTTAGTATGTATCTATTATCCATTGTTGCTTAAGAATTCTTTAATTTTTGTTTAATAAAATTTAGGTTTATTTCTTGAAGTTTGTTTTCAGTTGTGTATGAAGTTGTTATTCAATTCCCTTTCAGATTTTTGCGAAAATTGCTGATCCGAACAAATCGTTAATCCGAACACACCTTTTTCCCAATTAGGAATTAGGATTATAGAGGTTCTACTGTACACTATACGTGTAATGAAAAGAACCAAATGTCACCCATGTTATGTGAAAAAGAGTATACTAGCTAAAATTTTATAAATTTTTTTGTTTATAACGAATTTCTGGTAGTTAGGTAAAATCACACAAAAATTGCCCCCCCCCTGAACGAAATCCTGTATCCGCGCCTGAGCTAAATACTTATTTCTTGTGACGTGGTATTTACAAAATTTCCCATGATACTTGGAGTGCAGCGATGTACACAGAAAATAAGTATTACCTAACATAAAAGATGTTCTTTGAAATGCTGTCGTCGCTGTTTATCTTTTGCTCCAATAACCCTTAGCACAAACTGTTGGTTACTTTTAATCCGTTGCGATGAAAACTTCGACTTTTGTTTCCCTTCGAGTGCCTTTTCAGTTCGTGTAAGAAATAATTCCGTTATGGTGTCAGGTCGTATCCAGTGACCTCCCTAACCTTCCCCCATGTCGTTATATCATTACCCCTGACGCATATTACAACATCAGCTAGTCCCTAACCCGTCTCATGAAATTTCACTACTATTGGTCACGAAAAAACGGAGGAAGTAGGCAGCGCCCTCACATATCATTTTTATGTATTTTCCTATAGGATAACGTGACTGGTGATGCGACCGACCTAAAACCCGACATTGTTTTAGTCGTGCGATCGGATTTATGACGTCTTTCATATTGCTGACTTCTTGAGAAGCGAGCTGTCGAACGGCGGCCATCAATTTCATGCGAGTAGAGCGGCGAGCTTTAGATCTTCAGTCGGCTAATCCTCCGCTACAGTCACGTTCGCGTATATCCTGCACATCGTCGAAAGGGGTTGGAACCCATACCGGAGGGGAATGCCGTGACTTCTGGCAATAACACTCACGAACGCCACTAGATTTATGCCCGACCGGCCGCATAACTCTCCTATTATCACTGTTTGTCCGAGTGAAAGCTACAAAAAATTCGCATGCATTTATAACACTGCGACTCGGAGACATATTTCAGGTGACATTCTCTTAATATCGTCCGAGTGGTTGGAGATCAAAGGATTTTAAATACGATTACGAATGATATATTGGAATGTTGTAGCTCCTATTTCCTGTTTAAAACACAGGAAGTGGAAGAAGTCAAAAGAAAGCGCTGGCGCTAAAGCGTAGCATGGGCGTAAATGTTAAATCGTGCTTTTATGATTATTGTGCGTTCACTTTTAGACTATTTGTGGAAAAAGATTAAATGTTATGTTAAGCCGACGAAGGTGGTGTGAGATGGTTCTGGAAGTGATATATTTTTTAAAGTCTAGACGTACCAGACAGTCTAGACACGAAAATCTGAAACTAGAGGTGGTCTCTCTGCATTATAATGTGGAAACACAAACAATAGTTTCAATTATTATATATTGTAATTCTTTTTCCGTTCCAACGACCAATCATCGTCGCTACTACAGCAGTTAAGTTTCCGAACCAAAGTCCAGATTAGCGAATGCCTACTATTATGTTTTCTTGACGTTTCATAACCCCTAAGGTATGAAAAAATAAGTCTCTCGTTTCCGTTTGTCTGTCTGTCGTTTGGTGTCCAACGATTGTATCGATTTTTATTAGACAGATAAATCAGATAATCTCCAAAAGTACGATTGTTGCAAATTTTATGTGTATTTAGAAATATCTTGGCCTACCAAATTTGTCTAATCATCCCCACGAAGAATATGATGACGTCACCTCAACATTTTGTGTGGCATGTACATACTATTTAAATTTTACAATAGAGTATTCCTGTATTACTTGTAGTTTATGAATCCGTCTTGAGTTTTCATCTTCGGCAAAAAGATTTTGATAGAAAAAGTCTAAATTGTATTATATTTCACAGTATTTCTACAACTGCGCATTGGCTCAGCAATTATATATACTTATAGTACCACCAAGGTCGCGGGTTCGTTCCCCTCATTGGTCATTTGTTGTTGTTACACTGTGACTGGCATTATTTGTTTTTTGAAAAAGATGGATTTCTTTCTTCGTATTTGACAGCTAATAACATAAATAAAAATGTTTTTAGTACATGGTTTATTTTGTTGTGGATTTTTTGTATTTCTTTTGTGGACGTTTTTCTCGTGTTTTTGCCGCATTTTTGTTTTTTTTGCGTTCTTTTGTCGTTTCCTTTTGTAGCTTTTTTGTGTTTTATCACAATTTTTTTGTTGTCTAACTTTCATCGCTTTTTTCGTCTTTTGATCGTTTTCCCTGTCACCTTTTTTTTTGTTGGCTTTCTATTGTCGCGTTTTTCATTGGAGAAAAACTCCCTTGAGACACGCGCAGAGCATGCTACTTTACCTACACTTTATCAATCTACACATACCTTTATTTTAGTTTGCAGCAGTCATCATAAAAAAATAAAATTCCTAAAATGTTTATAATTTTTATAGGAAATTGGATTTTTATAACTGTACTTCAGGGACGATGGACCAATTTTTTTAGTCGTTGATGTTGTTTCCGCTTTTTTTATGGATTATTTGTTTTTTTTGCCGATTTTTGTAACTCTAATTTTTTGGTCGTTTTTTTGCCGTCGTTTATCTCCCATGTTGGTGTCGCTTTTTTATTTTTTTCTGCAGCCTATATTTGTTCGCCTTTTTCTTTGTTTGCTTTTTTGTTGGTTTTTTAGTCGCTTTTTGTTCCCTTGTCATAGAATTTTTTGTATTCTTTCCCCTTCTACCTTTTTTGTCACTGTTTTGTCTGTTGTTTTGTAACCGTACATTTTGTAAATCTTTAACGTCTTTTTTGTCGATTTTTTTGGTTTTTCTTTGCAACTTTTTAAGCCTTCTTTGTCACCATTTTTCCTCGCCCTAGTTTGTTTCTTTTTCTTTTTTTTTGTCGTGCTTTTTGGTGCTCTTTTTACCGCCTGCTTTTTTATTGCCTTTTTTGGCACCATATAGTTTGTTTTTTTTTTCGTTTTTACCTCCATTTTTATTACCTATATCTTTTTGTCCTCTTTTTTTCTCGTTTTATCCTCCTAAAAAGTAGATAACGACACCACAGTATTTTATTTTGAAAAACACACTTGAAACATACGCATAGCATTCTTCTTTTTCTGTAGTTTAACAGTCCACACTTAACTTACAGGAGATAACAAATAAAATTCGCAACATCGATGTTTTTAATTTATCTAGGAAATCAAATGTTTTTAACTGTACTTCAAGGGCGATGGAAGTTCTTCTAATAACATAAGTTTTTGTCACTTTTGATCTCTTTTGTTTGTTGCCTTTTTAAATAATTTTTGATCGTTTTCTGTCGTCTGTTTTTGTCATCGTTTGTCGATTTTATTGTCTCTTTTTTGTTCTCCTTTTATTTTGTTTTTTTTGTCCGAAAAGGTCGATGACGTCGTCACGAATTTTACTATGA